ATCTAATTTCATTTATGTACCGCATGACTGCGCAATTGGCAGTTAAACTAGCGCAGCGCTGTATAGCAAAAAATGGCATAAATTGCAGTATCTATACCATAGTTTGTAGACACTATAACTTTCACACAAAGCAATCAATATACATTTATTGGGATTTTTTTTACCAAAAACAGAATACATTTTGACCTAAATTTATAACTAACTTTGAGTTTACTATATATATATTTTATAGCCGAAAGTAAAAAAATATAGTTTTTCCTCAAAATTTTTGGTCTATTTTTGTTTATAGCACAAAAAATACAAAGTACACAGGTGATCAAATACCATGAAAAGAAAGCTCTATTTGTGTGAACAAAAGGCCGAAAATTTTGTTTGGGTACAGCATTGCATGACCGCGCAATTATCAGTTGAATTAATGCAGCACCGAGTAGCAAAAAGAGGCCTGGTCATTAAGGGGGGTAAATCCTCTGGAGGGCAAGTGGATAAACAGGGTCTTTGCTCCCTCTAGTGGACAGTCTGAAAACTGATCAACATTTTTTATACTTGAATAGTGACTAATGAAACCATTTTATGTGTTTCTCAATATTTTAATCAATATATATTACCTACACTTTATCTTTTGTAGTCATGAGGTATTGCTGAGCTACTGAACTGCTTTGGATGCGTTTTTTTTTTTTTCTTCGGTTTTTTTTTCTGTTGCCGTTTGTGGAATCAATAAAGTACCACTTTTTACTCTTAGAACTCTTGTTTGGGGAGTTTACTTGAAATGCATCTGACGGGATGCAGTCATTCTTCAACTGACAATTTTTTAACCAGCTACTTTGACTGATGTCAATTTGAAAAACTGACTTTTATAGAGCCAGGTGATACCACCAAGGCCACCCAATGCTGGAATTTTGTTCAATTCAGCAGGAATTGTCTGAAATTTGAGGCACGTTTGGCAGGCTTTAGGTTCACGTCATAGTATGCAAACTGCTTTTTCAACTATCTGTGTGACTGTATAATGGAAGGTGCTATTAATCCGTCCTCTGGCAATCCAGTTATGGTTTTTCCTCAACTTTAAAAGTGTGCTTTTAATTTAATCAGTATTAAGACAAAAAAGTTGACCTGCAAGCCAATAGCTGTACACATCAGTAAAATACAGAAGGGTGGCAGCAATGGGGATGGGGCGTTACAAAAAAAACATTTTTGTGATGTCACGCTTTTTTATTCATCAATTTTTATTTGCAAGATGAAAGTGATGAATTTGAGTAGCAAAAAGAGGCCTGGTCATTAAGGGAGGGTAAATCCTCTGGAGGGCAAATGGCTAAAGCGGAGTTCCAGATGAAAAAATATAAATAAGGCCTCAGCGTTAGCTGTTTTTTCTTTGTTTTTTTTTAGCATGTTTGTATTAACTTTTTTTGCTGTGTTTAGCCGTAGTTTTCCATGTTAGCATTTTTTAGCGCAAAAGAATTTTAAACATTTTTGGCTCAAAAAACGGCAGTTTGATGCTTTTTACTGTGTTTACCAGCGTTCGAGCATTTTTACAGCTAAAAACCTTCTCTTGAAACCCACTAGTCCTGGGGTTTTTTTCAGCCAGAAAACACCCCTGCCAAAAAATGCTGATTAAAACCTATGTGTGCATGGAGACATAGGGTAACATGCTGGGCAGTTTACTGGCTGTGTAAAAAAACGCCAGAAGCCAAAAACGCCAGGAGCTGTAAAAACGCCCAGTGTGCATGAGGCCTAAAAGTCAGCAGCTACAAAACCTGTACACTGGACATTTTTACAGCTGCTGTTTTTGGCTTTGGACATTCTTTTCTACAGCCAGTAAACCCCCCCAGCATGTTATCCTAGGTGTCCATGCACACATAGACTGTAATCCGTGTTTTTTGGCAGGGGTGTTGTTTAGCTGGAAAACCCCCAAGAACTAGTGGGTTTCAAGAGGAAGTTTTTAGCTGTAAAAATGCTCTAATGCTGAAAAACATGGTAAATCACAGCAAACCGGCGTTTTTAGCAAATACATTTTTTTTGGTCTTAAAAACGCTAAAACAATGCAAACGTTAAAAAATGCAGCAAAACACCATTAAACGATTAAATGCTAAGGCAAAAATGCTGAAAAACGTGACTTTACACAGCTAACGTTACCAGCATTATTAAAACGCCCAGTGTGCATGGAGCCTTAAAATACAAACACTTACCTGTCCCTCGGTCCAGCGGTGTCCTCACCACCGCTGGTTTCATCAGTCATCTTCTCTCCCTGGCGCCGGTATCTTCAGTGTGGGCACCTGGCTGTGACAGCTTGTGGCTTCACAGCCGGGTGCCCACTGCGCAGGCATGAAAAGTGCTGTGCTTTGTGAATGGCCCTGTAGTCTTCTGGGCAGGGGCGGACTGACAACTCATTGGGCCCCCGGGCAATAGGGGATCATGGGGCCCCTGTGTCCTTGCCCAAACTCAAAAAAGCCTATGAAAAAGGTACCAGGGGCATCTCATGGGGCCCCCTACTGACCCCGGGCCCTCGGGCAGTGCCCGAGTTTCCAAATGGGCAGTCCGCTCCTGCTTCTGGGACGTGTCCCAGAAGACTACGGGGAGACAGGGGGGATCAACTTCCGCTTTCCGATCGCAGCGGAAGTGGGAGCGGGTACCTGTCAAATTCGGTACCCGCTCCCCAAAGATGCCAATCCTTTATCGGGAGCAGGGGACAAAGGCTTAAAGTGGAACTTCCCCTTTTGGTGGAGCTCCGCTTTAAGTAAGCCTCAAGGAAGTACTATAGATTTTTACTCTTTTTATCTCCTTGGCTGATTCATAAAACCTGAGAAATATATCATGAGCACAGAAGAGGGGCTTTTGCCATGACCAACTAAGCAGGCATCACATTTTTCATTTCATGGCAAATAAAGTAAGGGTTCTGATTGGCTGCAAAGGGCAACAACTTTTGAGCTCATTTTCTGTTCTGGAGTTTTATGACTCAGCCTCTATATGTCTCATAGATTGATTTGTTAACACTGTAGAAAAGAGAAATACAGAAAATAGATTCCCCATTTGGTTTTCCCAATGTAACTCAGCGATTTAAACCTGATAGATTTCTGTGGACAATATAGTAAACCTGTGCTGAGAGAAATATGGAGATTGCCACAGCTGACCTCTTTATAAAAATTCTAATGGGCTGTCTTTCAAGGGCTTCAAAACATTCTGTGGCATGACCTGGAACAAGTGTAAAAACAGTCAATGCAAGTAAAGCTAGAACTCGCATACATTTTCCATTGTTTGTGATTCACAAAGGATGACAGCAGAGCAATTTCAAAGTAGAGCTCAGCAATGGTAGCCTGTATAATTCTCTCAGCACAAGTGTGTTCTAGCCCTGTTTTACCCCTTTCTTTTTCATCAGCCTTTTTTGTTACTTTTATCCATTTCAGTTTTAAAAGACTTTGAAATTAGCAGAAAGTAATTGTAATAGCTTCTACACTAGACTGAATTGATTATATTTCTGAGCAGATGCAGGCAAGTTAGTTATAAGGCTTGTAAAGTACCTTAGTACTAATAAAAAGCACAATACTGCCTTTTTTCTATATTTCTACAGCCAAGATTGTGTTTTAATAGCCCTAGGAGTTCAATGAACCTTAACTGAAAGGGTGTAGTAGATGTTCCTTTAAGTCTCTAATACTGAAGTAGAAAGGTGTAACGAGCACAGGAGCAGGCTGTAAATCCTCTAAATCCACAGAACATTCATGTTATTAAAAACTGCTCTATGCTTGTATTTGAGTAATAATGAATACTAAAATATGGTTAGATCATTATATAATTACAGAGTTATTAGTTAATCTTTACTAAAGAGAAAGGCATTTATCACCATTATTAACCTTTAAAAAGGGCCATAATGAAAAGCTAATGTCTGACCTGCTAACAAGAGCACATTAGGAAATAGCATTGCACGGATTTTAAATATGTCCTTTTTAGACAAATGTAACTGTTGTCAGGCTTATGTTTAGCTATGATAAATTGCAAGGATCGGTTTGCAAAATGTCATTTTTATACCTAGACAGAAAATAAATGTCACAATATATGGAATTGGAGGAGTTGATCCTCCTTTAACTGACACTTGAGTTTTATTGTTCTGGTAGCAGAAATGAACAGGACAGCACTAGTCTACATGCACATGTAGTATATTTATTATTATTAGTGTAGCTAAACTATGGATGTGATTTCAAGTATAATAATAATAGTACAAAATAGCTGTAGTTCCATAAGGTACTGGTTTATGGTAAAGGGATATCAGTATTTTTGTGTCACACAATTCTAAATTTATATACAGCGGCATTGCTGGGCCTTGGTACCCATGGAAGGCATTATAAAGCATCAGAATAAGTGGCGTTCCAAAGTATTTTGGGTCTGGGACCCCTGACAGCAAAAAAACAAAACAAAACAAAAAAAAAACAGAAGACAGTAAAGATATAGGAGAAGGGATTCTTGAGGAATGAGACCGAGAACAAAAAACATTACCTACATTTTCTTACCAGGAACTAAAGCATTACCTACATTTCTTCATGGTATGCTTCAAGCTTCACAACATTCCAAGAGCCCTAGGTCTCACCAGGGCCGGATCTAGCCTATATGATCTGGGGGTGCAGTAAAGAAAAGTCAGGGAGCACAATGTCAACACTGTGTGTGAGTCACTATCAGTATGTCACACTGTGTCACAACCTGGGAAACACTAGTATGTATTAGGCTGTCATTAGATTAGGATTATTAAACAGACCATGTACCGTCTTATATCAGGTGCCCCACTCAGAGTCCCCTCCTAAATTATGGTTTCCATCAGTCCCCCATTGCATCAAGGTCCTCATCAAAATGCCCCCTTACATCAGGGTCCTTACCAGAGTCCCCCTTACATCAGGGTCCCTGTCAGAGTGCTTGCTTACATCAACTGTTCCCATCAGAGTGCCCTTAACATATGGAGTTGTCTTGAACCCTCTTGGGAGTTGTCTTAACCCCTCCTGCCGTGCAGTATATTTTGGGTACCCCATGGGAGGTTTCTCATTCGTCTACCATGATGTTTATAAGCACAGGAAGGGTGGTACTTGGGGTCCTGTTGGTTCACAATTCGCTAACAACACAGGGGATGTCTTCAGCACTTACATTGAGGGACCTGACTAGGGGTGGACTGACCATTCTGGCACTCGGGCACTGCTCGAGGGCCCGGAGTCAGTAGGGGGCCCCATGAGATGCCCCTGGTACCTTTCATAGGCATTTTTGGGTGTGGTTTGAGTGTGGGTGAGGACACAGGGGCTCCATGATCCCCTATTGCCCGGGGGCCCCATGAGTTGTCAGTCTGCCCCTGGTCCTGACAATATAAATCTCATCCCCCCCCCCCAGCCTGATTCGCTGTTCTCCTTAGCCCAATCTTTTTTTTTCTGATGGGGGAATTTTCTACTTGCATGTCAGAATGTATGGGTCAGTTTTTGGTCTTGGTAGTCCTCGGGAGTCCTCAGCCAGTAGGAACGTCAAGTGGGTACTCTCTATTTCTCTACTTTAGCAGCAGCTGCTGTTTCCCATTCAGATGTGAAAGATGAGGATGGTGCTTTGTCAGATTCTGAGGACTCAGTGCATGAATAGAGTCAGAATGCTGACATATCTTCAAAGCTTTAGGGGCAGCTTTCGTCAGGCTCAAAAATTTTGCACGGAATCTATTTGGTCAGTCGTTCCTTTCCTCCACCACCAAGCATGCATACTTACACATCAATATATTTCTGTTGCATCAAGACTTGGCCTGTCCACTTCACTAAAGAGATAACCGTCTCAGAGAATAGTCGCTGCAGACTTTATAAGCCCAGTCTTTTGAACTGTTCAAACCCTACGCAGGTTCATGTGGATCCTAAATTTCCAGAAATCAATGCTATAATTGTCTTATTGCTTGGAATATCTTGGCCTTGTCCTACATATGGCGCTGTCCATGATCTTCTTTCCACAGGAAAAATGCTAGACTCTGTGCTCCCATGCTTGGACTCCTGGTCTCCAGTCCTGAAGACAACCCAACCCCCCCTGCTTTTGCATGAGAGTTTTTGGCCTTATGGTGGTATCCTTCGAGGCAGTGCCATATGCCTAATATCATTCAACTTTCTAGCACTGTGGAAAAGGCAGGTTGAGTCTATAGACTGCTACACCTGCCTAATTCCCAGAACCAGACTTGCCTTGGACTGGTGGATAATGAGTCTGGCACTAAAAATGGGGAAAATCCTTCCTTCCAATGGTCTTGGAGTTTCTCAGGATGAGTGCCAGCTTGTCAGGCTGGAGAAGCATCCTTGATAACTTTTTGGTGCAAGGGACTTGGTCACTGGAGGAAGCTTGTCTCAATGTGCTCATCAATCATCAATAGATTACTTGAGGGTGATTATTCATAAATATTTCTGTCCTAAGTGGAGGGGCCTCTCCAACCCATTCTGCAGGAAGGCCACTATATTTCCTCTGATCATTAACCTATACAAAATTAATATTACACCTTTCCATCCACTCCAGAAGTGAAGCTTTATTGTCTTTATTCAGAGAATGAATCCAAGCCTCGCTCTTAGAGTTCATCACTTTGTTGTCCATTAGAGAATGGTCTGCTCTCTCCATTGGATCAGAGGCTGAACTGAGCTTTTTTCCATGCTCTGACCGGGAGAAGAAGCAAACAAAATCCCCGGTCTCCATGGTCCATAATCAGCGGGTAGAAGGTTAGCCTCAGTCCCCTCCAAAAGCCCCTGTCCCGGTTAGGTCTGTCACATTGGTCTTTTGTGAATCCATGCTGACTATTGCTTAAAAGATTGTTTTGTAGCAAAAACTCTTCTTTATGGTCTTTTAATTAATTTTTAAGTATCATCACGACTATAGAAGTTAAACAAACTGGTATGTAGTGTACTGGTAAAGACTTTGATCCTTTTTATTTTAATCTTATATTATTAACATTTTTATAAATGGGAGGTACAGGTACAAAGAATAGAAGAAGTACAAAGGGAGTAAGGTTCATAGTTTCCAAAATGGTAAATTATACACATCAAAAATTTATATAGAAACTGAGAGTCCACTATTGGCAGGCAAAAGGCAGTGGTGATTAGGCACTACTGTCTTGGGTCACCTAGAAGGTAACTGGAAAGGCAACAACTGAACTAGATTGGTCGGATGCTACCTTCTTCAGGAGTTTAATGAAAAGTAACACAATTCAATTGGCAGGTTCATCTGCTGATGAATAGAGGATTATTGAACCTATAAAAAATTTGGCCAGTGGCAGGAAAAGAGATTACTAAATAGAAACCAGTTGAGGAAGAAGAAAAAGGAAAAAGAAAAAAAAAGTAGGTAGGAAGGAAAACAGTGACTGGGGATATAAAGAGGAGAGGGAAAATATCCTCCTTAATAAAATTCTGAAATGCAGATGAGTAACGGCACATAGACCAGGAGGTCCAAGTTTTATTGAACTGTTCCTCCCTGCCATTTTCATGCCATGGCAGATGTTCCAGGTTCCTGATGGAATTGCATTCAGTTGCCCATTCCACAAGGGGGAGGTATATAAGTTGTTTTCCCATAATAGGGGATGACCTTCCTGGCTAAGGTTAGGAAATGCCTAAGGACCTATTTTTTTGTGTGTTTTTTGTGGACTTGAGGGGTTCAGGAATCATGAAGAGGAGTTCTAATGTGAGAAAGCAGTATTTGAGTAGCCATCAGTTTAAAGTAGAGATTAAGAATTCACAACCAAAATGCCTAGGTAAGGGGGCAGTCACATTATATATGAAGCATAGTGCCTTTGGAGGCATGACACCACAAGCAAGTTTCTGGAACTTCAGGGGTAAATTGGTGAAGAAACAAAAGGGGCACATGTACCACCTAGTTATGAGTTTGAACCCTTTTTCCGTCTTAGTAGGTAACGATAATTTGTGGATCAGAATAAAGAACTTTTCTTAGTCTGTAGGGGTAATGGTAAACTTAAGAATATAGAATATAGCTGGAAGATAGCATGTGTCGATGAGTCCTTCCATAGAAGTAGAGATTCAAAAGCATTCAACACAGTGGTTATATTTGAGAGTGGGCTGATAGATCAAATAACCATTGGGGTATGTGGAGAACTGCGAGATGGACTAACTGTTGTCAATGATGGGTTGGAGTGAACGACCTGAGAGAGCCGGCAATGGTCTTGTTTATTCCAGGGTCCAAAAGTAGAAGATCGAATAACCCGTGGAAAAACTGGATTACCAAAAAAGGGAGTAATGGGGCCCAGGTAATTGGACAGACGAAGGGAGGGCAGTGAACGATCCCAAATATGAAGCATTTGTTATGTAAGGTCTATGAGGGACAGAGGGCTTTTATGTAATGTGGGAGAGATCCATGGAAGGGCACAAAGATCAAAAGGATTCATATGACTTTCTTATTGAACCTATAGTTTAGAAGAGGCGTGGTGAAAACAATCTAGTATTCTGGTAAAAACTGCTGCTTTGTGGTATAGAGAAGCACCTGGCACCCCTTTGAAACAGAAGAAATGCGCACTCACCGGACGCGCAATGTTTATGCGCGTTATATAATATATCCTGGTGTCATCAAGGTAATCATCTGGGCCAATTGTGGAAGTGGCTCCCTCTCAGGAGGAGCCAATTACGCAGTGACATCACGCCATGGGAGCATCGTGGAGCTCTGGCAGCCATCTTTACTCGGGGATGGTTAATCCTAATCTCTGTCTATCTTTTACCTTTGGATGCATCTTTTCAAACCCCTAATAAATGATTTATATAACATAATACACTATGGGCATTCTTTTATGTTGACTCCTTTGGGGAGTATTAAACTTTTAGACGCCCAATTCCAGCCCTATTCCTCCAGAGAGGGAGTCTCCAGTTAACCTTTGTGAGCTGCACCCACCTATCCCCTAGGGGATCTCTGGACGCCCCTGGATCATCATTTAAAGCCCTAGGACCTATCCATCCTGAGAGGGAGCTACTTCCACAACTGGTCCAGATGATTACCTTGATGACACCAGGATATATTATATAACGCGCATAAACATTGCGCATCCGGTGAGTGCGCATTTCTTCTGTTTCAAAATGAGCACAAGCACCGACTGAAGCGCTTAGGACTATACGGGCACCATTTTAGTCACCAACACGAACTATTTATCATATATATATATTGATTTTATTACTCATTTTGCACATATTTATTATTATTCTATTACCAATACAAAATATTTGTCATTACTCATATCATATAAGAACTTTGCACATATTTATTACTATCAATTTTAAGCGCTGCACTTTTATACTTCCTGAAAACTAACCCCACACCCATAACCCGCTCTCTACCAAACTTTACACTTAGCACAATGCAGTCAGTCAGGTACCATTCTCCTGGCAACTGCCAAACCCAGACACATTCATTGGATTTCCAGACAGAGAAGCGTGATTCGTCACTCCAGAGAACAGGTCTCCACTGCTCTAGAGTCAAGTGGTGGCATGCTTTACACCATTGCATCTGAAGCTTTGCATTGCACTTGGTGATGTAAGGCTTGAATGCAGCTGCTCGACCATGGAAACCCATTCCATGAAGCTCTCTACACACTGCTGTTGCACTAATCTGAAGGCCACATGAAGTTTGGAGGTCTTTAGCTACTGACTCTGCAGACAGTTGGCGACTTCTGCGCTATGTGTGCTCAGCATGCACTGACCCTGCTCTGAGGTTGAGTTGCTGTTGTTCCCAGTTGCTTCCACTTTGTTGTAATACCACTAACTGTTGACTGTGGAATATTTAGTAGCAAGGAAATTTCACGGATGGACTTATTGCACAGGTGGCAACCTATCATGGTACCACATTTGAATTCACTGAGATACTGAGAGCGACCTATTCTTTTACAAATGTTTGTAGAAGCAGTCTGCATGCCTAGGTGCTTAACCACTTCCCCGCCGCCCTATAGCAGAAATACTGCTACAGGGCAGCAGGGCTGCGCAACATCACGTATATACTGTATATGTGATTATGTATTTCCGGGTAAAGGGCACGCGCATGCCCTATCCACGCCTCCACTGGTGGCTACAGCTGTCAATCACCAGGTCCCGGCCAGAGTTTCCCCGCGATCGTCGAGTATTCCTGATGGGGGAGAGGTCTGTATGTAAACAATACAGATCTCTCCCTGTCAGGTCCAGGTTGCTGCTTTGTATTGCTCTGCATAGCAGAGCAATACAAAACAGCATACCTCCCTAGTAAAACACACACGTTTAACATAGTAAAACACACACAGCACAAAGTTAACCCTTTGATCACCCCATATGTTAATCCCAGTGTCATTAATGCAGTGTCACTGTATTAGAATCACTGGGGATGTCAGTGACAGTTAGTTCCCCCCCAGCGTAAGAATGCCCGACGCAGTCCCGCTATAAGTCATTGATCGCCGCCATTACTAGTATAAAAAATAAATTCCAGTATATATACCGCCATTTGTAGATGCTATAACTTATCAAATAATTTACACGTATTGGGATTTTTTTTGCAGACATGTCTTAGAATACCTTTTGCCCTAAATTTATGATGAAATTTGATTTTAAAATTTTTGTACTGGATATCTTTTATAGCAAAAAGTCAAAAATATTGTTTTGGTTTTTTTTTTTCAATATTGCCGGCCTTTTTTTTTATAGCCGGCTGTTTATAGCGCAAAAAATAAAAAATGGAGAGGCGATCAAATACCACTCAAAGAAAGCTCCATTTGTGGGAAAATAAAGGACACAAATTTTATTTGGGTGTAATGTTGCATGACCGCGCAATTGTCAGTTAAAGTAACTCAGTGTCGTATTGCAAAAATTGGCCTGGTCAGGAAGGGGGGTAAATCCTCTGGAGGACAAGTGGTTAATTTTATACATGTGACCATGGAGGTGATTGGAACACCTGAATAAAATGATTTGGAGGGGTGTCCCAATACTTTTGGCAATATAGTGTAGATACCCTGCACACAACTAAGGTTCAGTATCAAAAAGCAAACATCAGACTGGTTAGTGGTAAATGAACCCAGTATCAGCATAAAATAATGCATTGGAAAACAGTAACAGCACTGATAATTAATGCTGTGATAACTCATCTGTAAACAGTAGGCTATATCCAATTTTCAGTCCACTCTATATAAATGAAATTTGATACTCTCTATAGTGGTACCTCTTACTATGGTCTATAGGCACCATTTTTGTGAAGCAACTATCTGAGTGAGCAGTCTTTTACCCTTAATTCTTTAGCTAGCTAGTGTTGGGGCCCAGTCTTTATGATGGTGCACACATGTACAGTCTTAGTAAAGTCTGCATGCAGTAAAAATGCTGCTAGTTAGATGGCCAGCCCCTATGTGCTCAGTCTCTGCTAGCAGCAACAAGTTAATTGCAGCAGTTTCTTCTCACCAGTCGCTTCGATACAGCAACAGGGGTTTCACTGTTCAGATATAAGCTCACTTCTGGATCTGCTTGGAGCGAATCTGGTCCTCAGCACACTTCCCTAGGTTGTTGTGCACACAGGAGCAATGATGTGTATACCTTGTTCTCCCCAAAGTAAAGAGAAAGTTCCTTGGTATTCAGCTTGAGAAAATACAACTTTCTCTCTCTCCTTATACCCAGCTCGCATTGGGTGCTGTAGTCCATCGGTCCGCAGACTTCCATAGTAAAGTTTCTTTCATTAACTACTTCTCCCTGATTCAATGCTGCCAACCATCAAGTCTCTTCAGCACCTTCTGCTAGTTAGCTCTTCTTAGTGGATGGAGGCGAGGCAGTGTTAATCCATTCAGCTGAAGTCCATTGGGAGAACAGAGAACACTGCAGCACAATGTCCTAAGCCACTCTATGTCTCTAGCCAAGAACCTGGCTACACAAGTTACAAGATAAAGTGCCTCTTTCCCATGAATTCCCACATCGCTAGGGTCATGAGTCCTTTGAGGAACACAGCTCCCTCCCCTGGTATGTTATGATTTCCTCTTTGCCCTTCTTGCTACAACTGAGCAGGTGGGAGGGATTATAGCCTCAAGGGGAATGTCCTTCAGTTTTCTATGTGCCTAGTGTCAACTTCTCCTGTAGGTAGCAGTATAACCCTTGGTTTCTTCTCTTTCACACAGCTGCATACCTCAATGGACTCCTAGGGAAGAATATTACAGCAAGTATAAAATTCCTATTGCTTTCTATTTGTAAGACTGCAGCGTCCTGGCTAGATTGCATGAATTAAAACTGAAGTTTCGTGGGCAGCGCTGTATACAGTTTTTAGTATTTTGTTCTGGGCAAAAAGACTGGAGACAAAATCAATAATGTGAGAATTATAACCACATCATGTTCTTTAGTGGTGTTTTGTTTAATTTGTTTTTTTGTTGTTTTTTTTTTTCTAGAAGTGATTCTTTAAGCACAGTAATAAAAATAAAATAATGGATGTTTCTGTTTTATCTTTACATCAATACTGACTATAAAAGGATATAGCGTATTGTACATACAGTTTGTCCTTTAACAGAAACTTTATTCTGGTAATTTAATGAGCTGCCACCAGAGGCCACTGTGTGAAAAGCAATCTTTTTTCCCTTCAGGCATTCTAATGACATTGAATATTATAAATAGTCATTAGTGTTGAAAGCTTTGGGATATGGCTTTTGTACACTGAAGCTCATTATGCTCTGGAAATGAATGGACACACAGTACTAGAGAAACATTCCTATTAAACATTCATTTTTATTTTTAAAACTAAGGTGATGGTATCAATGGGGACTAATGGAAGCTTTTATCAAGGGCAAAAGGCCCTTTGACATTTTCACTAGGTATAGAAAAAGTGTAGACATATGTGTGTTCAGTCATCCAACAGGCACTCATTTCAATACAGTGACTGTAGTACAATACACATGTGTATTTACTTTTAAAATGGTGAATTCTCTAAAACATCATGCTATAACTGACATATTCAATTGGCAAAAAAATAGAAGACTTTATTCAGTTCCATGTTGGACCAGCTTTGGTAGCAGCTGATACCTGGGTGCTTCTGTTTTAATAAACTTTGTTCAGTCACTAAGGGCCTTTTACACTAGAAACTGCATGTGAATTGTACAGGAACAAAGGAACTCTGTGCAGTTCCTGTGTGATTCACATACAGTTCTGTGCAGTGTGATTTCAGCCCCAATAACATACATGTGCTGAGAACGCCCTCCCGGCACATTTACTGGCACCTAATGAAAAGGTCCCGATCTCAGATCCCCTTTTTGGGTCAACTCACCGGTACTCCTGGCTCCTCCCCCCTGCCGAGTGCCCCCAAAGCAGGCTGCTTGCTAAGGGGGCACTCATGAGTACTTGCTTCATAAGATACACAGAACAGGGCTTGGCCTTGCCCCTGCTTCCTCCTCACTGGCTATGATTGACAGCAACAGGATCAGCAACAGGAGCCAATGGATCCTGCTGCTATCTCTAAGCCAATGAGAAATCAGAGAGCCAGGATAGCAGCCGCTCTTGTATACATTGCTGGATCAGGATCAGGCTTAGGTAAATATTAGCAGGCACTGCATGCAGAAGGATTTTTACCGTACTGCATTCTAAAAAACCTTCTGCCTTTACAACCACTTTAAATGTCCCCCATGGTAGCACCCAGCTGCCCACGAGTGTTCACTGACAATAGTTTTTCCTATTATCCTTGAAAATGCTCAGAATTAACCCCCCTGGCGGTATTCCCGAGTGTAGCTTGGGGTTAATTATCAGTGCCAAAAGCGGTAACCCTGAGCTACACTCGAGATTACCCTGCAGCGTTGCTCAGGGATTCCCAGTTTCACTTACCTTGTCCTGCGCTCCCGCGATGTCCCCCCCTGCAGCGTCCCTGGCCATCTCCTCCGGCCAATGCTGGCATCCATCTTCCAGGTTCCGGTCCCTGCGAGCGTCGGGGCGTACGGGACGTACGGGGGCCGAAACCGGCGGGAAATTTAAAAATGTTAAAGTGACATTCACAAAATACACTAAAATCACATAGTAAAACATTACTGTTTCAAAGCATTTCACATACATTTTGTCCCTAGTGCTTTGTCCTGTGCCCTGCCTACATTTTCACTGTTCTCTCTGCCTTGAAACTTAGAAAAGTCCATGGCGTACAAAAAGCGTCCCTTTATGTGAAAAGCAGTTTTAGACCAGCTAGAATACAGCGATAGTAAATCAGAACCACTTGCAGAATTGAGTGATGATTCGTGGGGAAATTCGTCATCAGACACTGAAAATGATTTTGTGACTAAGCTCAGTGATGTTCAAACTTGACGCTATATTTCATATTTCAGTGTTTTTGGTTTGATTATATTATTGAATTAAATTTATTATTATATTTATTATTTTTTATGATTATTTATTATATTATAATTTATGATTTCGTGATTCAAATTTTATCATACCCGGGATGTTTACTAGACTCTTGTTCGGACATATTTCAGTGAGTTATTCCTAAAAATTACATGACTACAATAAAAAACTGACATATTTCCATGCAAAAACATTTACTGCTTTGAGCACAGAAATATTGACATAATCAGACTGCTAGGGAGGTTAAGTATCATGTTTTATCTCCCATAGCAATCAAGTTAGATGCATCAAATGTGCCCCTGGAAGCTTCAGAGGGGCTCGATTTGCCAGAGCTACAGGCACACATGGGATGAGAATATGCAAGGGTTAATTGCAGAGTCATAAGCCCATTAAGTGAAAAATGTCATAATGCAACCTCCTACTGTATATGTGTAATAATGACAGAAATGAATAATGTGTTTAATGTTCACCTCTCAGATACTTCCTTGTTTCCATGAATGGGGTGAGTTGGTACTTTAGAATATTTGTGACTGGAATATGTATAGATTTGGATGGTTTGGAAAAACATGTATTACCTTTAATGGTTATTTTAGGTAAGAGTGGAGCAAAGACTACCTCTGTTGTTGGAGACCAAAAGGTTTCTTGCCAGCTTGTAGAAGGCAACATGCTTGCTGCAACAACTGATATTCCCCACAAGATGGAAGGCCTGAGAAAAGAAAAGAGAACAGCCAAGATCTTGCCTGTGACTCACGAAAGGGGGTAAAAATAAGGTTTGCCAAACGATGTGGTGCAAGACAGACTGGGGAAAGTGCCAGACTGCACAGCTTGTAATGAAAATCTGGTTTTATATGTGTGTAGTGCCATGTTCCAGTGAAGTTGGCTACAATAAAATTCTACTGTATGTGGCTTCTCTGCAGAAGTGCACTGTCAACAGCTGACAAACAAAAGAAAAGAGTATTATCATTATTGTCAGTTGTGAAAAGAGTAATGTGGTGTCCTGTGATGATCTGGTTGCCATAGGTAAGAACAAAGGTACTAATAATCCTGATGCTCAGGATAAGAAATTGCGGGAGTAAACGTATTAAGTGATACATGCAGTGAAAGGACTAACCACTCCTTAGCAACAGACAGGGGCGAACTGACAACTCATGGGGCCCCCGGGCAATAGGGGATGATGGGGCCCCTATGTCATTGCCCAAACTCAAAAAAACCTATGAAAAAGGTACCAGGGGCATCTCATGGGGCCCCCTACTGACCCCGGGCCCTCGGGCAGTGCCCGAGTTTCCAAATGGTCAGACCGCCCCTGGCAACAGAGGAACTAGATAGCGAGTGAGGATAAACCCTCTACAGCCTCAGGGGGAGTAGTGTGGGGAGAGATTTTTCACATCACAGAAAACTCCTAGGGAGTAAAACATAGCATAAAAGCAAAATGAAAGCAAAAAGGAGGGTAACAATGTGGCCAGTGTGACCCTGTTTTAAAAGATGTATAATTTGCTTGTGAAAACAAACTTGAAAAAAATTCACGAATATCGGTTGTCACCTCATTCCTTTAAAACTGTGGCTGTTTAAGATGGTAATTGAACTCTCTTAGTGCCTTCTGTGCGTTAAATTAATCTCAGAACCTATGGAATTAATGTGTTCAGTTTTAAAGAGATGAGGTGGCAACTGTATGTAGAGTCCATTACAGTGTAGAGTGGGGA